CGTTGGTTTGCGTGCAGCTAGCAGTAACAGCCTGGTTGATCAGGCTCTGATCCACCAGGAGGCCTGGTCACAGACCGGGCCGCGGGGGCGTTGACCCCCGGAACTCTCTTCAGGTAAACTCCAGGAGAGGGTTTCGAGGGTCAACACCACCGCGGCCCGGTCTGAGATCAGGCTTCATGGTGGATCAGGGTCTGATCAACCAGGCTGTTACGGCTGGCCGTACCACAGCCCGGCTGGTCAGGTACTGACTTTAGGTGCCTGTCCAACGCCTTCCTGAAGACAGCCAGGGGTCTATTGGAAATCCCCTTACGTATGCTGGGAGGCAGCTGAACAGTCTTGGACCCCTGACACTTACTGTGTTGTCTCTTAGCGTACTTTTGGCGTCCCTGCATCTCCTGCCGAGTCTTTTGCTTTCGTAAGGAGTGAATTTCGTGTGCGAGTTTGGTATTAATCTCTCTAGGATTTTTTCAAAGAATATATTATCAAATATCTCTCTCGCCAGCGTTCCAGGGAATACAAATCAAGGGACACTCTTCTTGTTTAGCAAAAGTAGTCCGCTTTATGAGATATAACCGCAAGTCGTCTAGAAAGCACGAGATATATATACACCCGCCTGTATGTAACAAGTTAGGTTACCAATGTTCGGGCAGGATTACTTCTTGATACGAAGGATTGGTAGTTTATAATTTATATTTGCTTCACTACGGAAAAAATAGTATAGGCCAGTAAGCCTGTCACACTATGCTCTTATGCATACAAGAAGGTAACTGGTGGATGGGTAACGTACGGAATGGTGTACGTCCCTGAGTGTCTGTGAGGGTGATGAGGGCGCCATGCTTCAGAAGAACCCGCACCGCCGCCAGGCTCAGGTTGGCAGCAGCGATGTGCAGTGGAGCTCCACCAGAGTACTCAAGGCAAGCGTCATTGATACACACTCCTGTATCAGGGAAGGTGGTCTCTTAATACACTCTACACTTATTACACAATACACTGCTAGGCTAAACCATTCAATTCTCAAGTTTAAACTCTTATAGCTTTCATTTTCTTTCCAAGACTACAGATTTATCATCATTATGTTACTACTACCACCTCTACTATACTAACAAAAATAACATTAGTCATTCAATTTGGCACTCTTTTTAAGTCTCTCTTACAGGCACAACTCTTTTTTCGTTAATTACGTGGTAATCATTTTTTTTAACATTTGCTCTCCATGGGCATCCAAAAGTTCCTCTTTCCTCTTAATGTATATTAAAAGCAACAAATTTTAGTTCATATAACTGTATTTAGTAATTAGATTAAGAAAATTAAGTTTAAAAAGACGACACGAGTGTTTTGCTCACCTTGGGGGTCCTGCAACAGTAGATCGAGTACGGGTGCCACATCGAAGTAAGCAGCATAGTGCAGGGCCGTCATGTGGGTCCACCGGCATCTCTGGTGGACATCAGCACCATCGAGCACTAGTTGCTTCACCACCTAGTAATCATTTTTTTTTTTAACATTTGCTCTCCATGGACATCCAAATAACCCAACTTCAAAAGTTCCTCTTTCCTCTTAATGTATATTAAAAACAACAAATTGTTTGAGTGCCTGGTCATGGACCAGGCCGCGGGGGCGTTGATCCCCGGAATAACCTCCAGGTAACCTACATCAACATATACTGCAGTTACTTTACATATAAACAGCTGGTAGCGAGATGACTGAGTACTAAATTATATGTCCTAACATGTAGAGGATTTGCACAGGTGATGTATACAATTTTCAACTCGGCTATGGAGGGTTCGATTTTGGAGAGTCAGGCAGAAGCTGGATCGAACCATGGTCAGCCAAGATGAGATTAAGAAGTGTCGTATATTTGTGGAAAAAAGCACCTTGATCTGTTGTAATCAACTTTTGAAGGATGCAATTGTTTGAGTGCACTGTCATCTGCATTCCAAGCATATCCTACCTAGAGTGAGAGGAGAGGAAACAGAACGAGGGGGAGGGGGGGTTAACTGGAAGACTGACGTTTCAATGAGTCAAAGGAAAAAAAATGGCATAATTCCTTCACTGCGAAGGTAATAAACCAAATACATTAAACAGTATTTCGCAGAGGCCAACCTGATTCACGGATTTAAAAGAAAATACGAGAACTCTAAAAGGGCACTGGAGGCAGGGAGTAAACCACACCGGTTCATAAAACTGCAAAGGTAGGGCCCAAGAGTTACAGCTCAACTCATACCGACACAAATAAGTGAATATAAATATAGGAATACACATACGCACCCCTTTTATAATATGAAGATCACCAAATAAAGTAATTTATGTAATGGCATACGGCAATGATGCCTCCACCCACTAGGCTCTCACCTCCCACAGCACCACCCACGACACCCTCACTCAGGCTAGCAACAATACCCTAACCCAGGAGCAGCGGTCGATGTACCCCACACGTTAAAACGCCCCTCCCACACACCTGAGATACTTGGTTATGCAGTATGAAGTGTGGGTGCGAATGTTTTGCAGAGTTAAACGAAGGATTTTTTTTTGTAGTACTAGCACTTTTTTGTTTCAAGTTTTTTTTTTTTTTTAATGTTAGCTTCTAAGCTTAATGGAGGAGCCTTGATGCAGGTAAGGTGCTCCGTATTTCTTGGGTCCAATCTGATTGCTTCTCATTTTCCCAGGTACTGCATGACCCCTACGGGTTTAACACTCCCTATGAATGTAGTATGATTAACGTAGCGTTAGCCGAAGTACATTTATAGTGGACGCTAAGCAACAGTCTGCTTTATAGTGAGGGCGAAAAAGATTAAACCCTGCATGTGGAATAGGAGACAATTGGCTTAGAGGAAGGGAAATGTACCTCCAATTCCTTAGATCAAGAGCCTTAAGAGCCCTTCGCCAGCAACAAGGTTGGTGGGGACTGATGCCCCTGACGGGCATAGTAAAATGTGTACCAATGAATCAGTCTTTGTAGCCTTATGTACTTACAACTATACCATCTTTACTCACGAAATCGTAATGACACGATTGCAAACAAACCATACCACGGGCGGGATTTGAACGCCACGGTCTGGAGTTTTGAGACTCTCTGACCGCGGGTTCAAATCCCGCCCGTGGTATGGTTTATACCATCTTTAATCTTAAAGGTACTTTTGATTTTAGCAGCTCCTCTAGGGAGGTATCTTGATGCTGGTGAGAGGCTTTTGATCCAAGAAAGTGGATTTTCCTTCCTTTCTTAGGATGCACTATCATGCAGTGTTCCTTGTTTTTTTTAATGGGGTGTAAAACCTAATTCATTTAGATCTGCAGGTACTAAAACGGACGGGTCAACTGATTAAAATCCGTGTAGGAGACCTGACAAATAAACCACCGCCACTTTGGATCATTAGGGATAACGAAGACCTCAAATGGAAATATGTCACTCTGTATGGCTTTTTTTTGGAGGGGGGGGGGGAATTCTAGGTAATTTACGTGTTACTATGTAATACACTTGTAAATTCAAAAATGTTTAAATTGCACATATATAAACTTGTTGAATTAAGCTTGACTGCCTCTCATTCCCAATGTGATTGCGACCCTTACGGGTTTATCGCTTTCCTCCCTGATTACAAAAATAATAACCGATACTGGCAACCGTCATATGATCAATTGTGAGCTTGTCAAAATATATGTAGATGGCTGGCCTCTCCGATGGATCAAGAGCCTATCCACTACATGAGACTTCATTAAAACCATGTCACTTGTACTAATTTAAGATACTTTAATCCCAAAATAGGGATAAAAGTAAATCTTATATGACTTAATTATTATTACTGATTTTTGTTATTATTGCCTATATTTATTTGCAAGATGCAACACCAGATATATATAGTTTTAAAGTGTAACCTACTGCAACAAACTAATCAATAGTTTTAGGGTACCTACTTGTCCTACAGATTCTGCGCACATACTATTTACCCTTTACACAATGCCTAAGTTTCCCGTGTATGCGCAACGATTTTCTCTAGTTCCATGGCTAACATTTTCCTCGATTCAGGGTGAACTAGGGTATAACTGAGACTAGAATTCATCTGGAGTGTATAATTACGTATAAACTTGGTTTATTATTAAGCCATAATTTTTTCTTCCACTACTGTCATATCTAAGCCCTAAAAAGATTTTTTATTATTTGGCAAGACAATTATTGATTTAAGGAGTGCGTGTTAAAACCCATGGGTTCCCATATTTGGTACGAAATGTTATTTGTCCTGACACTTTTATCTTTATGTAGCATAGAAATACTATTGATTAGTACCCCCAATATAAAAGTGCTTAATATAAATACAATATAATGTATACTGTAGTCATGCGCCGTCATGTATTGTACTGTGTCATGCTGGATTAGTGTTCCTGTCTCCCAAATGAGCGTCCCTCCTTTGCGACATTTGCACTGCTGTTACTAGTAATGAACAATGTAGTTGTTTAAGCAGAAGAATTAGTAACTGGGTATAACACAAAGTGGTTTAATTTTATTGGAAGAGGGGGTGGGGAGAATCATCCTTAGGTCCTTGCCCAGGATGAAACCCACAAGTCTACAAACTCCAGAGTATATATTTAGGTGTTAGATTTACATATACATCTTGTTCAATCCCACGTTTCCTCTGTTGTGAGCAGAGACCGCTGAACATGTTCTGTGAGTTGTGTTCTGTAGTTATTATTGCGAACGAAAGTTTAATATATTTATTGTGCACCCCATACAGTCAAAAGATTACAGAGGTACATAATGGGTCCAGGGACTGGGCATCAAAGTTTTGATAGCTCAGCAAGTTACAAAGGTAATGAATCATGTAAGTAAATTAACTTACGTTTATACATGGTTACAATCATGAACAAATTATAAAATAATGAGCAATTCACACGTCCACACCCGGTCACAACTATGATGAGTTATCGGTGCAAATATTAATTGTTGAGTCACACACACAAATAGGTAAGTAAGTAAGTAAGTAAGTAAGTTTATTCAGGTATACACAAATACAGTTACATAGAATTATCATACATAGCAGCATATGTGTAGAGAACCTAGGATAACCCAAAAAAGGTGAGTACACACACACACACACACACACACACACACACACACACACACACACACACACACACACACACACGCAGAGGCCAGGAGCTGTGAATCGACCACCGCAACCACAACTTGGTGAGAACACACACGAGCAGTTCAGACATTGAGGACATCACTTACGAGAGGCCTCTTGGAGCTAGCGATCACGTGGCTCTGAGTTTTGATTATATAGCAGAGTTACAAGTGGAGAAGGTAACAGGAATTGAATGGGAAAAGCCAAACTATAAAAGGGAGGACTACACAGGTATGAGGAACTTCCTGCAGGAGGTTCAGTGGGACAGAGAACTGATAGGAAAATCAGTAAACGAGATGATGGAATATGTAACAACGAAGTGCAAGGAGGCAGAGGAAAGGTTTGTTCCCAAGGGAAATAGAAATAATAGGAAGACCAAAGCGAGTCCTTGGTTTACCCGAAGGTGTAGGGAGGCAAAAACTAAGTGCACCAGAGAATGGAAAAGGTACAGGAGGCAAAGGACCCAGGAAAATAAGGAGATTAGTAGAAGAGCCAGAAACGAGTATGCACAGATAAGGAGGCCCAGCGACAGTACGAAAAGACATAGCATCGAAAGTCAAGTCTGACCCGAAACTGCTGTATAGCCACATTAGGAGGAAGACAACAGTCAAAGACCAGGTGATAAGGCTGAGGAAAGAAAGTGGGGAACTCACAAGAAACGATCGAGAAGTATTTGAGGAGCTCAATATGAGATTTAAGGAAGTATTTACAGTGGAGACAGGAAGGCCTCTGGGGGGACGGAACAGAGGGGAACACCAGCAAGGAATATACCAACAAGTGTTGGATGACATACATACAAATGAGAAGAAGGTGAAGAAGCTGCTAAGGGACATCGATACCTCAAAGACAATGGGATCGGACATCTCCCTGTGGGTCCCTAGAAAGGGAGCGGATATGCTGTGTGTCCCACTTACCACAATCTTCAACACATCCCTGGAAACTGGGCAACTACCTGAGGTATGGAAGACGGCAAATGTAGTTCCCATTTTTAAAAAAGGAGACAGAAAAGAGGCATACTATACAATGACATGTATAGTATGCAAAGTTATAGTGATTATCAGGAGGAGAGTGGTGGAGCACCTGGAACGGAACAGGAGTATAAACGTCAACCAGCACGGATTCATGGAAGGCAAATCCTGTGTCACAAACCTTCTGGAGTTTTATAATAAAGTAACAGAAGTAAGACACAAGAGAGAGGGGTGGGTTGATTGCATCTTCTTGGACTGTAAGAAGGCCTTTGACACAGTTCCTCACAAGAGATTAGTGCAGAAACTAGAGGATCAGACACATATAACAGGAAGGGCACTGCAATTGATCAGATAATACCTGACAGGGAGGCAACAACGAGTCATGGTACGTGAT